CACTAAGTGCAATACAGAAGAAGTCAGAGTCTCCACCGAAGGGCCTGCCGCCGGTCTGCTAGGGCTACGCAGTGCCGAGCTTTGAGAGGGAGCAGCAGTCTGAACGGACTCGCCTGCGGTCGCGGCAAGCAGAGACCCTATCGAGGCACCTGATTGATGGAAAATGGGGGTAGGAGCCCTCACTCTTCTCGAAGCCCTCCGACCTGACAACAAAAATAGAAGTTAAACTACATGAAGTGAAAAAGAAGACGGCATGAAGGTCGAAGCAACTGAAGATCGAAATGAATTGACTTACCGGTCGAAGATGGTTTACGTCTAAACTTCTTGTTGAACAACGACCACTCATGGATCCCCACCGTGTGGGGTAAAATTTGACTCATCCAGTCGCGAATGTCGGCAACTAACGTGAGAAAGAAGAACAATTAAGTCACCGGTGAGAAATAAAACAAGCAATCAGTTAGCAAAAACACTTATGGGCGAAGTTTCACGCTTCAAGGAACCCACTGGGATTCGCCACCACGTGCTCGGTATTAATGTAGAAGAAGTTAAATCAAAATTGACAATTTACCTTATCGTTCATCTTCACCACCCTTTGGTCCCACGGTGGCGGAGGTATATCATCATACCCTTGTGAAAGCTCGCGAAAAGGTATAGCAGATGGCAGATGGAAATCCCGCAGTTGGCCAGCTCCGCGTACATTATCAACATGAGGAAGAGTTTATAAATATAGGGGAAGAGTTGATTCGGGCAGATGCCGTAGTAGCGGCAAAATTCCTCCGCCAGCAGGAGAGGAGGAAGAGAATAGCCCACTTAGAACGGGTACGCGTAGAAGGCGCAGTACCCAGGACGATGGATATGGATTATGTCACTGCCAGCTGGGACCAAGTCAATATGGGCTGGGATGTTGTATTTGTCCCTAAGTTCGGCCAAGGCGGTCACGTCCATTTCGGACTGCACAGGTTCAGGTTCATCTGTAGCCAACTTTGAGAAGTCCGACCTGGCTCTATCGTTACGAGGAATGATTTCCTCCGCGGTGGGAAAGCTCTCATCCTCGACAACAACAACAAAATCCTCATCGTAAGGGGGCATTCTCACTATTAAGGGGGTGAGTTCAGGAGCCTCACCAGAAACAGGGGTGCATTAACCATTTTTGGTTGTTCGTAAAATGCAGGAAAACAAGAACTTGAAAGAGGTGAAAGTAGCAAGAATCAAGAATCACTCAAACCCAGAAGGAGAGCAAGAACACAAAAAGAAGAAGAAAAGAGAAAAGGGCGCAGGTTCAGAAGCTGGAAAATGGAAAAGATCACTCAAAAGGCTCTCCGCCCTTATTTATAGAGAGCATACACTTAAACCGAGAAAATCAATCGTCAGGTGCTCGGGAAGCGAAGCGATGCGGTGCATCAGTAAGGTGCGTAATAATGACTCCATTATTTAATAGTTTTGTTAGTGATAAACAAAAAAATAAATTGTTAACAGTAAGAATATGAACTAGTTTAAAATATAATAAATGATAAAATTGAACAATTTCACATAATATTGTGTAGGAGTTGTTTGAAACTTTTTCCCTTGTAAATAGATTAAGCGGGCATTTGGACATAAGAATTGTGAAATTTCGAGAAAAAATTAAGTAAAAATTATATTTGAAAATTAAGGTTGTGTTTGGACATAATATAATTTGGAGCTATTTTTTATTTTTGTGAGCGATTTGAAGAGTAAATTTAAAAAAAAAAATTAGAGTTTTTTAAATTTCAAAAAAATTCAAATTCAACCTCAAGTAAAATTTAAATTTTTTTGACCATTCCGAGAAAAAGTTTTAAGAAATAATGGCCCAAGATGATGCTTTAAACACGAAACCGCACGAGTGTTGTATCTCGTAATCAGTTAAGAGTTATGACAAATAGTGTGGTAGTTGCTCTAGATAAAATGATATGGCACACATTAATCATCAATCATCAAGTGTGTGCGTTATATTTACATGGTAAGTAATACTTTGCATCCATTAACTTAAATTCTTAGATATGTAATAACATCACCATAAACACTTATCTGCATAATGCGTTTATACCATTTCAATAAATATATGATATATGTCTTCACAAGTAAGATTATCACTAACTAGTAGTAGCTAATTAATATATATATATATTTTTACCTTAATTTATCAAATAATAATACTAAATTAATAGTATGATTTAGTATAAACATGTAAATTTTTACCGTACGAGTACATATCTTTAGCAATAATTGGGTGCAGTATGCGACCCCTCCACTGTAGTAGAGTATCAAACAGCATCAAAATTGGATTGCAGCCACATGATAATTTCTCTTTATTACAACAAGACTTTCAAGTGACAACTAAGAGAAGAAGAGTATTGCCATGCCTCATCATTTGAATTGGCATTTTACCTAATATTAATTTTGCAAGTCTTTTTCTTCTAGCTAGTTGCTTCCTCTCACCAGAAATGAAAGCTCCTATTTGCAAATAATCTCCGAATTATTAAAGGATAATGACTTCCCTTTGCTCCTTAATTAATTGGGATGGACCCAACTTTACCATCAAAAATCTTTCTTAATTTATCATTTCAATTAGAAAAGATTTGTGCCAACTATGAGCTAATTAAACCTGGATTTGTACACCCCACTCAGATTTGCATTATCTTGTCAACTAGTTTGTATAATTTTATGGTACAACCTAAACTTATACTACCTTACCAAGATTTGTTTAATTGAAAAACATGTTTCAATTTGTCCATCCGATTATAACCATTTGCGATTTGTAGGTGTTGTACTATGTTTTTAGATGTTTGTACTCACTTTGGTACAACAAGAATAGCCTGTTTGGCCAAGCTTCTCTGAGGCCAAAAACACTTTTTCTGATTTTTTTTAAAAGTTAAAGTGTTTGGCGAAAATTTTAGAAAAAAAAAAAGTATTTTTAGAGTAAAAGTAGAAGCAACTATGGAGAAGTAAAAAAAAATAGCTTCTCACAAATACTTTTTTGAGAATAATACACTTAAAATACTTTTTAATAGTTTGGCCAAATACTAATTGGTGCTCAGAAATGTTTTTTCAATTAATTAACCAAACACAAATTATTTCTTACCAAAAGTACTTTTAAAGAAAAATACTTAACAAAATAAGCTGATTTTAAAAGCTTGTCCAAAAAGTGTTATGGCTTATTGATTTCTTAGTAAAATGAAGGGCACCCACTTAAGAATACAAAAGGCCCAAAACAGTCCACTATATTTGGATTTCAAGTTTAAAATAGTCCTATTCTTCTTACATGGAGTACTAATAGTTCACACTTTTAACAAAATGGTGCAATTTCAGTCCAAAACCAAACGACCGGCATTATTTTCTTACAAAAGGAATCTCTGTTCCTCTCCTCCAGTTCCAGTCCTGTCTGCATCTTTGAACAAAAACCGATTGACGTTGTTCCCTTCTTTTCCCCCAATTTTTCAGAACCCTAATATACAAATTGGGGAGATCTAAGGGGGAAATCAGGCGCGATACATCAAGTTTTTGTCGAAGAGACGGAAATCTTGTGCCTGGAATTGCAACAATTGTGTTGAATCTTTCTCCAGGTACCATACTTAGAAGAGAGCGATTCTTTTTCTTTCTTTCCCTTTTTTTGTTCTTCTTCTATGCCTCTGAATATATGCTTGTTCCTTTTGTGAATCCATAATTGGATGCTCATTAACACTAAAACGCTGATATTTCGAGGTTCTACAGCAATCAAGAGAGAGCAAAGATGAATTGAATGGTGGCTTTAGGGAAGAAATTGACGAAAAATATTCACGATCACAAACTTGTTTGAATTTGAATTTGAATTCTGCATATGGGGTTGTGTAGTTAAGCCAATGTTATTGTTGCCTTTGACCAAAAGTTGTTTGCTGAAATGTCTTGCTGGGCATTTTAATCCTCTGTTGGTTATGTTCTGTTGAACTTTTCCTGAAAATTGCTGCACTCGAGAATTGCAGCTTTGATAGTACTTTAAGACTGTAATGTATGGTGTGACTCATCCCACTGTATGGTAGCATGCTATAGGTAAAATTAATCTTCTTGGTATAGGTTCTTTTTTGAAGAATTAACCTAAATAGCCGCCTGCCTAACTGCTTAAACCGAAAACAGCCGGCAGATATATATATATATATATATATATATGTGTGTGTGTGTGTGTGTGTGTGTGTGTGTGTGTGTGTAACCGTATATATTTAGTGGACAATATGTTTGTACCAGCTAGGTAAAGTAAATACTGAAAACCCGCACGCTGTTTATGTAAAAACCCTTCTTTTTTGGTATATTTTCCCTTAGTTGCTATAGGTTCTTTTTTGGTATCCAGATTAAGGGTGAGAGTCTACTTGAGACAGATCATGGCATATAATGCAAAAAAATAAAAAATAAAGCAAAAAAGCTGGAAGATTGTTCCAATGGTGAACAGTTTGGAAGGAGAGGAATGCAAGATGTTTTGAAGGCAAGATCAGTTCAACAGAGAAAATCAAGAGTTCTTGCATTTCTCTTTTTCATTTTTGGTGTAAAGAACAGTTGATAGGTGATGTAGAATCACTACTAGACCTTTTTGATTCTCTGTAAGATTTCAGGGGTTGTACTTGTAAATATTAGATACCAGCCCTGTTTTTTGGGTGCTGATGAATATAATTGTTACCTTTCTCAAAAAAAAAAAAAAGGATCGCCAGAGCAATGCTGTGACTGTCCTAGCATTTGTTTTCAACGTCCTAGCATTGGGGTATAAAGATTAAGGTCTGTTGGCATTGAATATGTTGTTTTCTTCTAAGCTTTCTAACCTTTGATACTTTGCTGCAGGTTCATGGAGTAGACTTACCAATACTTGGTGAAATTGATTCCGGTTTAGACGAAGTAGTGGAAGATTAAAAGACGGAGACAGATATAAGTTTTTAAATAAGGGATTAAGATGATGGAAGGAGTTAACTAATAA